GCTCGTCGGGGCGAGGGTCGCCGATCCATTCGTGCGGTTCGTGAGGAGCACGGACACGGCCTTCGCCCAGCCGGTCGCGCTTCGGGGGAAACAGGGCCTTAACTGCAGATAACACTGCTCTTGCTGTAAATAGATAGCATCTACTCTAAAGGTATATTTATCTCTATACGCGTATTTGCTCTCACTGCTTATTTTATATCATGGTAGGCATCCATTAGTGGCTGCTTTCTCCTAAGCATTTAATTTTCCCCATCTCTTTTGTGTCTTCTGCTTTCATGCCTGTGCAGGCCAGCGTAACATTCAGACTTGGTCTGTGGTGTTTACAGCGCTGGGATGAGCTGGGCATATTCTGAACAGAATTCTTTTTCTCTCCAGAACCTAGTGGTGATTTTCTGACTTTAATCACTTTCAAGTGAATTGAAGATGCAAAATGCAGTGCTTCTTTCTAAGTCATAACCGTTACATTTCTCTTAGGCTTCATGTTAATCTTACAGTTTCTGTAGATTTTTTTATTTATATTTTTTATTTATATATATATGTATATATATTTAAAACTTGTGCTCAGAACAACTCCTTCTAAAATTATTAAGCTCCTTCACTCACCTAGTTGATGACAAAATGTAAACAGTGTATTTTAAAAGTAAGATTCCCTGATGGAGACGTGTGTTGTAGCTGCACTATCCTAAAAGCAAGTGCTCTTTGGATTTATGTAAATATTTTTTTCTGCTGTTGCCCTCTGGTGGAGGGTGTAATGAAGTTTTACAGCAGCAATGCACGTTTATACAAGAAAGACTGATTATTTTAATATTGAAATTCCCATAATGACTAATCCACGTAGAACTTCAGTATTTCCTTTCAAAATTGTAAAAGAACTACAAAGCACTAGGAGTAGAAAATAAAGGAAAACTATATGCAATTGAAGTGTTGTTAATTAGCTTCATAACAACGTAGCTGATTTCTAAATCCTGGTAGGTACCGAATGTGGTTTTCAGCATAGGCTTCAGTGCAGCATCTTCACTACCATTACGCTGCCGGAGGGATTTTTCCCAGTCCACGCAAAGCTGCACAGTTATGTAAGCAAGCCTTCCCAGGCTTTCATGGCTCCAGTGTGCCATTGCAGGTGCTCAAAGGAAACCTGTCTTAAAAGATTTTTCCGAGGGGCAGCAGGAACAGGAAATTGTTTAGCAGGGATGAAATGGGATTGGATTCCGTAACGCAAGCGTTTCAGAAAAGTACTGAGCACTTTTCCGAGCTGGAATTTGAGAGTGTAAATTCTGTGGGGCAAGGGTGCTTTGTTTATTTGCACACAATGTACAAGGAGCTCTGGCCCTTTTTTAAGAAAGCTCAGCACTGGCGTGTTTTTGATGCTATGGGTACTAAGTAGCAGCAATAATTGTCAGTAAAATAATAGAATTTAATAAGTAAATGATGACTGATTTGGGAAAGAGAAATAATTTATCCTATCACATGAAAATGAATTGAAAAGCCAGATGAGACATTCCTGGGTGTAGACTCTTACTAGAGGAGAATTAGTTGGCCCTTTACTGGATAAAATACGCAAAATAGCAAACAACCCTGGTATAGCAAAATGCTGTAGTGACTAGGCTGCTGCTGTAGCCACCTGAAGTACAAATTTTATGTCTATCACATGTTACATCCGGGTGTTACTGAGTCACATCCTGATCCGGCTCAGCTGTTTTCGTTTCACATGAGGCACTAATAAAAGCAGTAGAAAGCTGATGTCATTAGTGTTATAAAACATGTACGGACTTGCCAGCTTTTTAAACATTATATGTTAGGTGTTTAACCTTGGTAGAATAAGCCATTTCTAGAAGAAGCAACACAGAGCACTAATATATGTTATCAAAATTGTTATCAATAATTATTTCTATAATGAATAGCTGTCACAGACAGGCTCCTTTCACAAAAGGCCTAACTCAAACTCCAGTGAAATCACCGTGAGTTCTTTCCACTGGTGACAGTGGCAGGCGAAACAGGACGTTATGCAGAAAGTTCTAGTCCAGGTATCACTACTAAATGTTCATGTATTGACCAGAAGGAAAGATGTTCAGTCAAAAGTCACCCTGTAAAAAATGCAGTTCTGAAAAAGCTCTAAGAATATCTGTGGGATGATATGGCGTGGTGCAGGATGCTGCAGATGCCTGCAGTTTTTTCACAGAGAACAGAAAGCTTATTGTTTAATCCTGCAATCTTGTAATTAAATACAATTCTCTTCAACTGATAAGATTTTCTTTTGCTTTTGCTTGTGTGAAGGCTGAAGGATTGAGTCCTTACCTGCCCTTTTGTTTCCATAAATAGTTCCTTTTTACAAGTTTCTGACTGAGCTATTTCAACAAGTTAATTGAAAGAGATGAAGAATCACAGATGTGGTTCTTAGCTCGATGTTTCTTACTGCTATATATCTAACCTCAAAATTTTCTGCAGTAACCCTCAGAATAATGTCCAAATATAGTCTAATCCTTTTAGAGGACTACAAAGGCAAGACAGCAATATACATTTCTCTAAGTTTTAGTCTTGCTGAAGCAAACTATACCCTAAGCTAAAATTTCTTTGGTTATACATACCAGTGATTTAAAAATACAAATTATTTAAATTCAATTTTTGACCTTATCTGTGCTGCTGAGACACTGCAATATGGATCTGCTCTTTCCCAAGTGTTATGCGGAGCTTATAAATGAATATGTATTTCATGATCCGTTTTGAAAAGTAATCGTATAAATGTGTAACTTCTAATTCATATGATCACACGGATAAAATCTAAGAGATTTTGTTTTCCCCATCTACTCAAAGGTGACAAAATACCGATCTTAATGATGCAGCATCATCTTCAGAAATAAAATACGTGCTTAAAATCTTTGTTACGCCATTAAACGCATGTCTGTAATACAGAGTCATTTGGGACTGAGGATAGCATAAACATGCCTCAAAAATTATGATCTAATTCTCACTCCTGATTTATCGTAGCCACCCATTGAATTCACAGAGTTTCTTCCTGTTTCTTCCTGATCTGTGTCGCTTACATCTTGAATGATGTTTTCACTTCTGGAACCATGGGATGGATTGGTAATGTACATGCTATAAAACAAACATGGCAGAAATTGAACTGTCGGGTCAGATCTTGGCTCTGTATCTCTACAACAGTGCAAAGACTGTTTATCTTCCTCAATTTGTGTCCCAAAGAGCTTGAGCTGAAACACGCTAAAGAATGCATGTGTCTGGGCAGAACACACACATTCACATGGAAGATCACTCTCAACCAGCTCATGCTTCTTGGAAATAGAAATCTGGAACTTTGGGCCCAGATCACAGGGACAAACAGAAAAATCCAGCAGGAAGCTGGCCGGAGAGGCAAAATAAACTATGACTGTGGCTTTTGTCAAGCAAAGTTGTGTAGCTTTTCCACAACTTCAGTTAAGTGTGATATACGACAGCTTAGAGCTTGTAAATTGGGCTTCTCTCTTTCAGATGCCTCCATTCTGTTGCTAGAACACAATTACATTGCTTTGCCAATAGCCCAATAAGCACAAAAAATTATACATAACAGAAGACAGAGGTTGCATGATCACTTTCCAGGGTGATTCCTGGTTTTAAGTCAAACTGGAGGTCATTTGCCCAGAAATCTCTGCACTAACCTGGGTGATGAAATACTCTAATGACTTGCTACAAACCCCAGTATTTGGGAAGTTGCTATTGCTTTCTGGGAAGGTAACAACAGTCATTTGAAAAAAAAAAAAAAAAAAAAAAAGGCATAAAAGTATCTGAAGGCTGCACTTTTTTGTATTAAGGAATAGCATGTAAACTCCTAGTGTTAACTCCAATGGCAATGCCTAATGTTCAGATAATCCAAGGTGGTTTTAGCTCTCGTAGCAGGGCAGGTTCATTACCGTGTTGAAGACGTTGCTTCAGCCCTCTGGTGGTAAAAGCCATTAAGGCACTAGAAGTGCAGTCAATTTTTATGTTCTACTAGTGAAGCGGATTTCACTGTGGAAAAAAAACCCCAACCAGTAGGTGATTTGCAGTTACCGTATATGACTACTCCATGGCTGGAAATTTTCCCATGACATTACATAAAGATGTATTTATTTCCTCTGTCCTCCCTTTCCTGTCTAAAATCTAGTTTGTTTTTAATATTAGCAACTAGACTAAAAAAAAAAAATCTAATAAAAATCCACTCAATGGCAAATGCCTTTTAAATCACAAAAGAAATGATATTCATATTAAAAATATTC